GCCCCGGGAGGCTGCTGCCCCGGGAGGCTGCTGCCCCAGGAGGATGCTGCATGCGGTGCTCAGCCCAGGCACCTCTTGTCCCCAGATAAATTTCCTTACTTAGAGTGGGACCGATTCACTGCAAGGGGCTTGCAGCTTGGGCGGGCAGGACAGCGAGGCTCAGTGTGGCATTTCAATGGGTCCAAGCCCCTAAACCAGGGGAAAAGCACTTCCTTTTCCCATTTGTGGTGCTCAGAGTACCAACATCGCTGACTTCTCTGTGACCCATCACGGTGGCTTTCAGGCAGAAGGGAACTCAGAGTCTGAAGACTTCCCTTAGCTTTACATTTAAGCACATGCTTAAGTCTCTTTATTTCAATTTACGCATTTTTGGGACCCAGCTGGAGGGTTACAGGGTGAGACCTTTCATCTCTGCATCTATCAAACAGGGATAAAGGCCTAAGAAAACTGCACCGTGGGGCAACCAGGTAACTGGTGCCACATGTCCAAGTTACTTTGCAGGCAGCTTTCTCTAGTGCCCCCCACAATATCACTATTTTTCAAGAGAAAATGAATTATTCCTCACCTGGTTCACAGCTTTCAGAAACACTACACTTCTCAGACCTGAAAGGGAAAGGCAGACAAGAGAGGTGGTCATGGAGCAGCCAAAGAGAGCTTAAAAGCCAGCGGTGTGTGCAGGACAGATCCCGGCAGGAGGGAGAAAGACTGCAGCCCCCCGTAACGGCAGGCAAGGGCTGTGGAGGGGTCCCCGGGGACACTGCACCCACAGTCCCAGCAGTGGCACAGCATCTGTGGCTGCAAGGGAAAGCCACGGTCTGTGGGTTTCTCTGCAAATAAGCCCTGCTCCCAGACCCCCTCCGGTCCTGCACCACCGCTGATCGCACACCGCCTCTAGGCACCGATGGGTGTGACCGCAGCAGAGAGCTCCTGAAAGCAAGAGGGGTTTTAAGCCCAAAACCCGGTTGACTCCATCCCTTTGCAGCAGAGAGCAGTGCATAAAGCATCATTACAATGTGGTTACTCATGAAGCTAAAGCAAATAGGGAGGAAGGAAAAAAAAGTCAATTGATTTGGTAAATATTTATTCTGCTCAAAGCTTTTCTCCCCTGAAAACTGGGCACTATCCCAAACTTGCATCTACAGTTCACTTCGCAGGCTCAGGAATTTACACAAGGTGTTCAGCATCCAAATGAGATTACTTTGCTTTCTCATGATGCATTTGCTTTCTGTCTCTCTCTTTCTTAAACAAGAACAACCACAGCTCTTTGGCAGTAAGAGACCCAAGGAACAGCACTGGAAAACACACTCTTCCATGACGCTGGTCCTTCAGGGGGAAAGAAAACCCTTCTGAGCCAGCACCACATCCCTGCTGGCTCAGAGGGAATGTTCAAAAGCACTTCTTGCTCACCCAAATCCACTCAGCAGCGTCAGCAGAACAAACTATGGGCAATGTGAATGAAGCCAGGAGTGTTCTTGCTCAATATGGTACCAATAAAAGGATCTCTGGTCTAGAAAATACCGTATATATTACCTAGGAGCCTTGGGAAGGGTTTCACTCTTGCACTTTGGGTCACAACCTTTCACCAGGGAAATTTGGGAGGAGGGCTTCCACAGGGAGGGCATTACCCCTCGCAGTGTCTGGCCCTTTCCCTGGAACTGGACTCTGACCAGGGTGGACCCCTGCTATGGAAATGCTCTGCTCCTGTCAGGGAACAGAGGTTCCTCATTTGCAGGAAGAACAAAGTGGGGTTCGCCACCTACATTTTCCTGCAGGTAGGTGTTACCAGTGCATTGGGAGATCTGGCCCTGTGGCAGGCAAAGCACGCTGCACCCCACCACTGCTGTTCACGACCCCCGTTGTAGCCAGAGACGCACGTGCACCTCGGGGTCTGTGGCCCAATTCCACATGCACGCACTCAGCGTAAATCGGGAGCAAGGCACATACACACGCAACTGGGATAAATTCAAAAGGGACCCCAGGTTGTGCCCAATTTACACCAGTGGAAGGCGGTCAGCCTGGCACAGGCCACATCACAGCACCACCATGGGGAGGGCAATCCGAATCCAGCTGGGTACAAACCACCCCAAAACCCCCTATTTTTCCCCCACTGGGTCTTCCAAGGTGAGTTTACTGCTCTGTGCAAACCCTACTTGGCCCATAGCTGGAGTGCAGCAGGGGAGATGGGGACAGCGCAGCATCAGCGAGGGCTGTACGGGGACCACGAGCCTCCGGCCACGCTCAGAGCTCTGCAGTGGCAAACCTCAGCTCCCACCCCACCAGCACACTCCCACAGACAGGCAGCGGCTGGTTATCTACCCATTGCTTTGCAGAAACCAGCCTGGCATCACTAGTATCCCATCCTTCCACCTTCTTGTTTCCAGTCACACCAATTTAACTGCACAGTGGGATCTTCTGTTGCAAAAATTAAAAGTGTCCTAATTGCAAATGTTAACAAATGAACGGGAAAATGAGAAGCCTCAGGCCAGGTTCCAGCCCCGCAGCGTGCTTAGAGGCCAGTGGTATTTGAAACATCACCGTTTCCCCTGGCATCCAGTGCGCAGCAGATGCTCTGCTGCTCCATGAGTCTAAACGCCTCCGGACATGGAGTGATTCAGCAAGGTGCAGAGAGCAAAAAATGGCTGAAGAATGGGTTTGTGGCTAAACCTTAACTGAGGATCCTGGAGATTTCAGTTTAATTCCCCACGGCACCAGTGAAGCACCTCAGGCTGAGGCCCAGCCCAGCCAAGTTCCTGTGGCAGACATCTCCAGCCAAGGCTCTCATCCAGAGTCCTTTCATCATTGGGAAGAGAAACAGGCACTTTTGGGGTGTGATTCCTCCCACCCGTTTTAAATGGTCGGAAAGGGCTGGCTCACCCGGTGCACCGAGCTTGCTGCTGCTGAAAGGTTCCAGAGTGACTCAGCCAGCCCACCTCCGGCATGGCCACCCAAAGGCGGTTGCCACCAGCCTCCCCTCGGCAGCGTGGGCGAGAGGCCCTGCTGCCACAGCTCTGCTTCACCAGCACAGCATTTGGGGGTGCTCTCCTTTGGGGTGACACCTGCACGCTGAGCGCTGACCATTTCAACCCATCGGTATCAGCGCACAGAGCAAACCAACATCACTCACAGAGACCTGGTCCAGGCAAGCCAGCCCAACGACTCGCTCATCTTAACCCCCTTCCCAGGCCCACGGTTGCCTCTGCCTTGCATCAGAGCTCCAGCGTGGCACAGCTCGTTTTGCACTTGTAGCCAACAGTACAAGGAAGTGGGGCCAGCCCCTGCAAAGTGCAGGGAACACCACTGTGCCATAGCACGGGGCACGAGTGACACCCGTGGGTGCTCCCAGCACCCTGTCCCTGGCAGAGGAAAGGATGAGAAGAATTTGACTCCAATTTACCAAAACGAAGGCTGGGAAGGGACACGGTGGTGTCCTGCAGCAGTGGGGCAGCAAGGCTGCGCAAGAGCCACCCCAACCCTGTGGGGTAAAGCCACCCCCAAACCCTCCTTTGAAGCTGGAGATACCCAGAGGGCTGGGTGACAAATGCCAGCCCCACGGACTGGGCAGCTCGAGAGGTCTCTGCCCTCCGAAGCTGTGAGATTTCAGTGCTTGGTGCACCGCTGGGCTCGCTGCACTGCCTGCCCTAATGCTGCCGACGTGGCAGGTTCCCCTGCCCAGGGTGAGCACGGCTTTAAAGGCACACGGCAGCCACATCCAAGGGGATAAACCCGAAACAGCACTGGGGAGAACCAGGAGACTCCAACCTGTCGCAGGTTCATGTCTCAACAGAGAGCCAAGGAGGGAGGGGAACCCAACACATGCCATGGAGGAGACAGGAACAAGTGACCCCGTCTCCCCATCCTGGCCTGCAGAAGTTACCAACCCCACAGCACGGTCTGCAGCCCCAGCTGGTGGAGGTGTCGGCATCGGGCAGCGAGACTGTGCCGGAGAGGCTGTGGAGCACTCGCTCCTACACCCCTGCTCCTGAGCCTCCCTGCAGCCAGCAGCCTCCAGCATGGGGGTGCAGACAGACATTCCAGCAAAGTTCATTTTGCTGCTTGTAAAACCACCCGTGACCGAGCTGTCCGTGCAGGGCAAGGCTGGGAAAGGGCTCCCTTCCCTGCAGCACAGCCTTGTCCGTAAGCACCACTTATACAGCTATGAACTGCTGTCCTGCTTCTCTTATTTAAAGTGATTTTAAAGGTAAATATTGGGGCTAAATATTACCTTGCTTCTGACCAGCTGAAGCAAAAATTATGGAAACTGGGGCTTCACAAAGGAAAATACTTTCTGGATCTCCCAGCACGGGTTGGAAAGCAGCGCTATACATTCCTGCCAGCACGTTATAGACCAGTCTAGCTCGTGGCATGGTTGTACTAGAAACAGGTACATTCATAAAAAATCCTTTTTTTTTTCTGCTGAACTCTATAACCCCATTTTTATTAAAACATCTGTTAATCTGCTATTAGTCTCCCTGCGAGCTTTATAAACAAGTAATGCTTAATTGGCAGGATGCTGTGTTACACTGCCGGCTGAGGGTGAATCCTTAGGCCATGCTTTAACACCAGAGATTGCTCCTGCAGATAATCCCAGCCTGCCCAGGCATGGCCCGGTTTCATCAGTTTTGTACAAAATCAGTGATTCCAATGTGACCACAAACCCAGTGATTTTGGCTCACAAAAGGATGGGGGTGGTCAGTCCCCTCCCGTGCCATCGCAGCGGGTTTTGGGGAAGGCAGGAAAGCAGCGCCCCTACAGCAGCACAGCAATAAGCTACCGGACATGTTAATGCCCCCAGAATAACTCTCCGAGGGACGTCGCTTCGCGGCGGCCAGGGAACAGGAGTGTCACTTACCTGCTGTTGGCCTGAGAGGTCCCCGCCAGGTCCAGCACAGCCCCGCGGTGCGGCTCGGGGGAGATCTCCCCGGGGGGGCTGGAAGGCTCCAGCTTGGTTGGATCTTTGGTAAATTTGCTTCCTGGTGCCGGGAGCGCAGGGCGGGTTTGGAAGGAAAAGCAAAACCAGAATGAGCAACCAGAGATGCCAATGATGCCTTTTTCCACCTCCACTTCCCTCCCTCCACTCCCAGAGCTGAGGTCGGGGTGAGGGACAGGTTATGAAGCATCACCTGCTTGCAAAGAGAAGGGTACAGACTTAAATCGGGTTTACACATTAAAATAACAGTAAAACTTTTGGTTAAATGTCTGCCTAACTAAGTGTGCACTGGGAAGCCCTGCCAGGGATGGAGCATCTCCGGAAAGGGCTGGCTGCCGGGACAGGGCGCTGAGAGGTGTGGACCAGGGTCAGGAAACCCAGGCATGGACCAGCGCTGCAGCAGCAAGCCCCAAATCAGGGAGAGCCCTGTCCCAAGCGAGGGGACAGGAGCTCAGCAAAACCCAGAGCAGCAGTGCCACAGGGAGCCCCATCCTGCACCTCTGAGCCCTGCACGCAGTGGGAGAAATCTCTGCCGGAGCGACTTGGAGGGGGACAAAAGCATCCTGTCACCATGAAAACGTTCTCTCTCCCTTCCCTGTTCCTCAGCAACCTGAAAGGAGCTGAAATGAGCCTCAGCAATGACCTTGGAGATAAAAAGAGTGATCTGAAGGCAAGGTAGGAAATGAAAATCAGGCACGGAAGGTGAGCAAAGAGCTGAAGGATTAGTGCTGGGGGAAGGAGGGAATGAAATTACACAGTGAGGCTGCAGAAGCCACATAGGTGTCTCGTTAAATAGCTGCTGCCAAAGGCCCTTCGCTGGTCTCCAAGTGCCACCGTGACATCCCCACCCTTCCAAAACACCTCCTGTCTGTGGGAACATGAAGCTTTTTTCCTTTCAGCTCCAGCCTGCAAGGAAGGGCAGGGCTCTGGCAATGGGACCAGCAGCAATATAGAGCCTTAAAGACACTATTTATCTACCGGCAGTCCAAAAGGCTCCTTTTAATTTGTGCTTTCTATGGACCAAATCTTGTTCTTGCAGCAGCAAAGCCTGCCTGAAGCTGCTACCCAGGGGAGTAGCAAAAATAGGTTTCCTAGCAGTGGTGGGTATTTTAATTAAAGGGTGAGCAAAACTGTACAGGGAAGCTTTGGGATACTTTGCAGTTGGCAATTTAAAATATAGCTCCACTTGGAAAATAGTGTCTTTGCAAAAATGGCACCTCCTGACTCAGCAGATGCCTTTTTTTTTTTTTTTTTTGCACAGTCAGATGTGCTGATGCGAATCACAAAAATCCAGGTTTAATGTGTTTTGCTTCTGGTAGCGCTGCAGGGAGCAGGCAGGGGAGGGGAAACTGCCATCCACCCCAGTCCTGCTGGGTTTGCTTCCTCATCTCCTAATTTCCACTTGCACCTCCCTGCCATGTAACCCCCGAGCTCGTAGCAGGGTGCTTTCCATCGGCAGCTATTGACCTGGGGTGCAGACGTAGGCAATCCCTCCCCCCAGGTACCGTACAACCATGACGGGCTTGCAAGGAAAACCCAAGCACCCCAAGACCCATCCCTTGGGGATGAGCTACACCTTAAAAATCCTTTGAGAAAAAAGTCATTAATGGGGCTGGAGACAAAGAAACGCCCCCCCCATGGAGGTGGGACCCCCTCCAGGCTCTGCTGGAGGTCTCCTTTGGGTGGCTCTGGTGTCATTGTGCCCAGGGAGCACCCTTGGGGCCGGGGCTGTTGTGGGGCCACCAAGGTTAACTTGGCCAGCGGAGATGTCAGAGAAGGTGGTGTCTGGAAAGCCGCCAGCATGCAGGGTTGGCAGCTTGATAACAAAAAACCAACAACCACCCCAAAACACGTCTTTACTTGTGAGCCAAGCCCAGGCGATCCAGGAGCGGGGCTGGGTGGTGATAAATTCGGGTGCAGCGCCATATTTAAGGCAGTGGGACGGGGGCAGGTGCCGGAGCGAGGGCTGGGTCAGACCGCACCAGTACCTACCTCCTTTTATTTGCCAAGAAGCACTTAGCCCGGCTTCTCCAGCTCAAACCAAAAGGAGTAAAAACACAGGGCAAAGAAAGCCCCTGGATTTTGTCACCGAAAAAAATGGATTTTTGTTGTTTTTCTTTGAAAAACAGTCAGCGTCTGGATGATGCTTGCACTTCCCAGCCAAAAAAAAAAAGAGAATAATTTACCAGGGAGGAACCCAACAGTGATTCTTCTTCCTCCTGAAAGGACAGAAACATGCTGTGTGCTGCCTGTAGCTGCAGCTCAGCCCAGCACAGGGAGCCAGGCCAGCCTCACACATCAGGGATTTCTTGCTTAAACCTTCAAAACACTATTGAAGGGGAGCACGGTGCTTGCACCGATCCCGTGTGAAGGCAATCTCAGCACGCCTGGGTGTAGGGCACAGACAAGGCTTCTCCTCACTGAGCATAACTGCATGTGTCCTGCACTTTTGCTGCTTACAGGTGACACTATTTCAACTCTGCTTCTCTGGATAATCTTTCAATTTTGCAGGCAATAAATCAAAGGATGTGGAGAACGTACCTGTAAAAATTCTCTCGTCAAACATCCTAGGAGGAAAGAAAAAAAAGGGATTAGAAATAGGTGCTTCTAATGAATTTTAGGTTTTATTAATGAACAGCATTAAACCAAGTCAAAATAGTCATTTTTCAGCTAAAAAAAAAAAAGAAAGCCTTTTAGCCTGTTGTGCAACCAAGCAATCTTATAGCATATGCTTTTTAACTAAAGCACCTTTAAATCTGCTTACAAGTCATTCTCTTAATTTAATTAACTTATTAAATGAGGCTGCTATAGGCTGGCTTTACCAAAAGGGACAGTGGGACTGAAGTAGCTGTCGCTGGACCTTCGCTTCATGACGTAGAACACCAACCAGATGTCACCTGTCTCCTGAATATCATATTTTGGTGCCACCCACAACTTCGCTCATGGGAGCAAAGTGTGTCCAGGGCCACGGCGCAGGGCCTGATCCAGCCCAGTGCAGCCCGAGTGGTGCAGGACAAAGCAGCTCCTCCACCAGCTGACATCTGGAAAGCTAATTCCTTCTAGGATGCTTGAGTCCTGTTGATGTCTGTGATTTTAGCCCCCTTGGGAGCCTTAGCCAGGGTTTTTCTGCACCACAATTTCACACCTTTAGCAGAGGAACAACACAAGTGCTGCACAGGCAGGGACCAAATAAATAAATATATTATAAAGCAGATTTTTCCTGACAGAGAAGCAAAGAGGGCTTGTATGGCGCAGAGGTAACCAGGAAATTGTCCACTCCTCCTACTCCAGTGCGAACAGACACCAAGACACAACGCCCTGCCCCGCAGGAGATACATCCTCCTCATCACATATATAGGATGACCATAAGTGATCACCACAAAACAAGGCGGAGGGGAATCCCTGTGCATTGTGAATAAGGATGCTCCTCCCACATGGAGGCATCGCTCCCATCTGCCAAATGCCACCGGTGAGAGTCGTGCCGTGATCGGAGGGTCCCATTACCACCCGAGATGCCTAGGGTGGCACTGGCAATGTCTGCATGGACTTACAACAGGGTGTCGGGGATCAGGGGTGACTGTGGTACGGCCAGCCCTGCCACATCCTTGCAAAAAGGGAGAGAGCAATGGAAAACAGAGGTTTGGGGGGAAAAAGAGCTATTTAGCTCTTTTCCATAAAAAAAGGCGAAATGCGTTTTGGGTGTCAAAAGAAACCCTGTGAGCGTGGAATGAACACAGCTTAAATCCTTGAGCCCCCTCGAGGCCACGCACTCTCCGTTGCCTTCCTCAGCACCCACCTTTTGATGACAAAATGGATGTTGTGCCTCTCCTCCAGTATCCGCTTGAGTTTGGGGACGCCGTAGGTGCAAGGTCTTTTGAAGGGTATTTTGTCCGGGATGCCGATGATTTCCACCGCCTCGGGGTCACAGGCAATCTTCCGGTACGGGACAGGGACCATGTGGTCTAACCCCAAGGCTTCGGCTGAAAGGTGAAAGCATGGTTTCCACTTAAACACACGCTTTTACAGACGATAAAATGAAGGTGTAAAGGCTTGAACTCGAGCAAAGCGAGTGCCTCCTGCCCTCTTCTCCTTTGCTTGTCCCAGATGGTGAGCCCTGGGAGCAGCTCACCCATGGGAGATGGGAGAATGGGGAGATAATGCAGCAGCAAACACAGCTAACATTGTCATCCAAAACCCCCAAACACATCCAGCATTACTCAAACCAGGGGCGAGCTGGCCCATGTGCCGTCCCCAACCTCCCCGCGATCGCAGCAGGTCACTGAGCTATATAACTCACGAGTTGCATAGCACATAGACAGTTTATAAGTTACAGAGGTCATCTATAGCCCATATATAACTCATGAGTGACATAGCACACGTCTATAGCCCATCTGTAACTCAGAAATTACACAGCCTGATGGAGGTGGTGACAAGTTCCAGCCCATCAGCCCATTCCCCAGCAATTTCCTAAGCTTACAGCTGCCCAAACACCCAGGAACTAACCCAAAACCACTGCCCATGGCAAGGGAAGCACCAACAATGCCCGTAAGCCGTACAGGTGGAAAAAAGCAGCTGCAATAAGGACAATCTTCTTTTTTCCCCTGCCACGTTAATTTAAAACAGCCACATGCCACTGCTCCCCCTCGCCTGCAAGCGCCGGCAGTGCCCGGGTGCTCTGACCCGGCATGCCACGCTTCAAACCGGGGCTGTTTTACAGCCCAGTTATAAATTCCCCGGCGCTGGTGGGGGGGCTCCAAATGGAAATATTGACATAACCTTCAGCAGACACTAAGAGACTGGGAGCTGCTGGGCTAAATGTGTTAGGAAGAGAAGGGAGCTCTAGCATATGGCTTCTGCTGCTGTGTTAGGGAACAAAAATGATTGCTATATAATGATATGCAAACCACAAGTGCTGCAGATGCATAATGGGATATTAACTCCTACTCACCATATCTGCTGTTAAACAGAATTTGCACGCACTCCCTAAGGGTGTTGATATCTTCAGTTTCTTTTATAAAACTGTCCCACTTATCTATCAAAACAAAATATAAGAAATAAGGAACTTCCATATGGTTCGTACACAGCAGATGTACTTTTCTCGCGCAAAGAGCTGGGAAGCAGGAACAAGACTTTGCTGCTTTAAAAATAATTATTTCCCTCTTGCTGAGTGGATTTTGCCAGGCTGGCAGATAAGGTCTGGGCTTCCCCAGCCCCAGCCCCAAGCAACCTCCTCTGCAGCCGTGCATGTGCAAAGCAGATTCCTAAGAAATGACCCCATAAAACTTCTCAACCCTGAAATGAAAGACCCTCCGGGACAGAGCAAATTCAACCTGAAACGAACCTTTGAAAGGCACAGCCATTTCACAGAGGAGCTTTTTCATCTCCTTCTCTTCCCCAACTTTCCCACCCATATTTTTTTCTTCTTTTTAACGCAGGCAGGTGAGGGTTTTGATGTAACATGTCAGCATTTTTAGGTTGCATTTCCCTTGGGTGGGGTGGAGGTGGGAAAACGGCAGAGTCTCCTCCCCATTGCTGATCCCCCCAGGCACAGCTGCAGAATCACATCGAGGTTAGTGGGTTTCAGTTATTTTTAAATAACGCCAAGCTTTTGGTGGGTACTTGCTGTTTGCAGCTCGGGCAGACGGCCTCACCCAAAGCCGTGCCTCAGTTCCCCGTGCACAAAGTGGGGATGGGATTTCCTAGCCCACCGGCAGCGCTTGTGGACCGAGTGTTGTGGAGATGGCAGGGATGGACCCGAGCGAGGATGAAGGTCTCAGCTGTGATGCTGAGACATTGCAGCAATTAAAGGGAAAAAAATCCCCTGCTGCAGCATCTCTGGTGCTGACGGGTCCCTGCAGATCATGGGGATGGCTGGGAGACTGCTGGGGAGAGACAGGGCCAGGGGAAAACCTCTCCCTAAAAGGTGGCTGCCAGCCAGGTCCAATGCCAGAGTGGGACACAGACCTGTCTTGTCATGGACAATGGAGAAGAGGATGCGCTTGGATGAGTGCACGTTCTGGATGAGGGGACCTCCAGAGACCGACGATTTCTGTCCTGGACAAGAGGGGAGACAAGGAGAAAGGGCTGATGAGAGCCTGACCGATGCTCTGGGCACCCAAACAAGCCCCCGGGTGCTGTTCCCTGCTGGTGACACCGACCCAACCCTGCCGGCTCTCCTCCGTGCACCCTGGCCTGTGACAACACGGTGGGGTCCTGACCAGACTGGGCCCTCACCATCCCCCCCACGGCTGCCCCTCCAGCCTCGCG